TGTAAATGAGATATATATATATATATATATATATATAAAATTAACTCTGTCATTTTCCATGCATAAATGTATAAAGGTTCAACAGCATGTTCTGCCCTTGATGCTTTACTTGTGTTTGTGCCTTTGCTAAGTTTAAAGATCAGCTTGAGACCCTCACACAACATTCCACATATAGGTCAAGCAACAACCCCCTTTGTGAAGGCTTCAGGAATGTTAGTGTGGCATTCAGTTTTCTTTGTAATAGGTAGATGTTCAATGCCTGACCTCTAAAAAGTTTTAATACCTTTTATATACACACTCCTCCACTTTACATTATATAACAAGATTATAGTATATCACAATTATTCAGATTGAAGAAAATGATATGATCAAAACAATACAATAAGGATATCACGTCACACTATAACAGTTACAAAGACAATACAAGAATATTATCACAGATTTTATATAGAAAAATCACATGAAAACAAGGAAATACCTTTTATTTCCATGTCAAACTGGTGACTTTCCTCAATCAAATGAGGAAATTGCTCTGAGGATGCTGGATACATATCAGCAGAGTCCGCACTGGATGGCTGGTACTCATCTGGGATTTCAACAGGCTTCAGACTGGATTCTTGTATTCCCAAGGCTTTGGCCAGTTCTTCTTGTTCTAGAGAGGTCAATAACGTGAATTCTGATGGTGAGGGAGGTCTTTCATCATCTGGCTTTATCTCAGTGGCTGCATAAATTTCTCCAGGACTCAAAACATGATCTTTCCTCGCTTCAATGCACTGTTCAATGAAAATCTGCTGTGATGTATCAACACTGATTCTCCCCTCAATATCGGACTGGGAATCTAGAGATCTTTGTAGTTCCTCCCCAATCATTGATTGAGACATGAGTTCAATTTGAGAGGATGTCATTGAGTCTTGAGAATCAATCATGGACTGTGACACAAGTTCTTGTGTCCCAATAGCAGCTTCAAAAGCCTCATGCAATTCCAACTGAGATTCGGTCATTAGAGTATATTCTGTTGGTGACAGTGGCCTTTCAGATATACCGGTGAGTTTATCCCTTAAAGGGTATTCCACACTATCGATCATTTCTGTGGTCATTTCCATGGCTTTTGCTTTACTTTTTAAATCTTTTGAGTAGTATTTGCCGGGACTCTCATCATCGCTGACACTGGGAGAAGCTGAACATTCCTGAGCTTCCATTGAAGAAGTAGGAATGGGGACACTGCTGGTTCCTAAGCTACTACCCTCACGATGATAAGGGGAGAAATCAGAATCATATGTTTGTTCATAACTGGCTGTATCTTCAGCTGCCATTTCTGGTTGGCTGTCATCGGATTGTGGGAGCTTTTCTAAGGATTCAGTTCGAAACAGTTTTGTACTTTGTCTAACATCTGATTTCTCTTCGGCACTGGTGATGGTAACTTTGTTAGTTTTTTCCTCAACTGTTTCCTGTTTCCCTAAAAAAGACATCTGATCTTTTGGGGTTGTTTTATCATCTGGTCTGGCGGTGTCATCATCTGGGGTTTTGCCCTTGCCTGGTGTGTAATCATCCCGATGTTCATCTTTCTCAGTTTTAGAGGGCTTACTATCAATTGCAGCATCATACACAGCAGATTTGTGATACTCAAAGTGTTCTCTTCGGTCGATAAACTGTTCTTCGCTTTCTTCAACGAGGTCATCCAATTTCTTCTGTAAAAACTACCACTTTGAGATAAAGCTTCAATCTCTTCATCAGTGTGTTCAATGAAAGAGTGGTCACTCTCATCTCCGGATTCTTCAGCATCTTGTCTCTCGTCTTTAGTCACTTCCAAAATATCTTCAGACTTTAGCTGTATTCTTTCTTTTTCATATCCATCTTGATGCTCGAATTTGTCAGCAATTTCAGCAGATTTGACATCATGCCTTGTTTTGATAGTTTGTTCTTCTTCTGATGAAACTGCATCAGTTTCAGTCAGGTCACTGCTAATTTCCATACTCATCCGGGACTTATCTTTTGTATCAACCTTCTCCTTTACTTCGGTTTTAAACTGGTCTTCTGCACGAGTTTTTTCAGTGGAAACTTCTCTGACTGAATCTTTCTGGAAGGTGCTTTTGTCCAAATTATCAAATGTTTGAGCCTTACCACTGGTATCTTTCATCTCTTTTTCCAAATGGCTTTTTGTAGTTGTTTCATCAACCAAGTGATCATGAATGGAAGATTTCTCTTGGCTAACTTGTTTCTTGGTGCCTTCAGTGTCCTCCATTATGGTTTTGCCTTTAGTGTATTCTGAGTGTAGCTTCACCTCATCTTTTGTTGTTAGTTCTTCAGATGTTTCTTTTTCAAATTCATCTTCTTTTGCAACCTTTTCTTTCTTTGTCTCACTTTCAACTTCCTTCTCCTCTACAGAAACAACTGAATCAGAGACAGAAGTTGTTTGGCTGTCAATAGTTGTGGATGAACTCTGGCTTTCTTTTGATATGGCTTTCTCAGATATTTTCACTTTCACATCTTCTATGCTTTTCTGTTCGGTGATGAACTTCCCTGGCTTATCGGAATCTTCAATAAATTCTTCCAAGATATTTGCTTCTCTGCTGACACTTTCTTGCACATACTTCATGTCTGTTTTCTCTTTTTTGGCAAATTGTTCTTCTTTCAGGGTCTGCTGTTCCAAACCAAATGAGTGTTCTTTTTTAATTTCATCAGCATCTTGAAGACCTTTCGACTTGGACATGTAATCCATCTCCTTCAGCATTTCATTGTAATCTTCCTCTTCCACTTCACTTTCATCACTCGACAGATATTCTTCCTCGTGAAAGTCTTCAGATGATACTCCCTTCATTTTCTCAGTTGACAAATCCTCTAAAAAACGATCAGCTGTTTTATCATCGTCTGGGGACTTTAAAGAACTAACCTTATCAGTAAATCTAATAGCATCATCGTCCTTGGCAACATGTACTGGAGATTTTTTCTCTGAATCTTCTTTCTCCAAGTTGGTTTCATGTGCCAAGGCCCTTGATACTAAAAAATGATCTGCTTCTGTACTAAGACCATCGCTTGTGGCCGTCTTGGAGGTGCTTGATCGTTCGAGTTTCTCTGGCGAGTTAACTCGTATTTGTTCCTCCTGTCTTGTTATTTCAAAATAAGTATCTTGTTCTGACTTTATGGAACTTATTTTTGCCCTACCTAGGATATCAAGACTTTCTACAGGCTCTTTGTCTAAACCAGGTTTTATTGCTCCTGGCATTGCTATTTCTTCTGAAGATTCTTCATCTGCTGTCATGTCCTGCTCATCTTCAACACGATAAACACTAGATTCAGTTACCCGTTCTCCATCTCTAACTACACTTGAAGCACCATATTCTGACATGATAGTCTCTGCCATCTTTTCACCTTTCTGTAAAATTTCTTTTTCCTCTTGTTCACAGATTTTTTCATGAGATAAAAAAGTTTCAAGAGAACTTTCCTTTGAATGATCGTCTTCATCTGATGAGAGCTCTTCCTGTACAGGAAATTCATAGGTTACTTCAGTACGGTCATCCTGAGGTTTGTGACAGTAATGCAATTTACTGCTAGAAGATTCAAAAGGTGAGAATTTTTCTTCAGTGGTTAGGATTTCGGGCTTTTGATCAAATATTTCATCTGGTTCCTCATTGAGTTCTTCATCAGACAAGTCCTCATGAATTTGAGAAGGCTGTGCAGTGGCCATGCTTCTCTGTTCATTTTCTTGATAAACCTTGTCTTTTATATCTTCTTTTAAAGCCTCCAACTGGACTTCAACTAAGCTTTCATCGGACAGAGATTCGGCATGTCTGTCTGCACTTCTCCCCATAGAAAATGAGTCGATGCTTCGTTGAACTTTTTCTGGGGAATCTGCAATAATTTGCTCTTCGTACCTATTTATTTCTGAATATTTTTCTTCGTCTGGGGATTTCTCCTGCAATGTTATTTCTTTTTTCGTTATCTTATATTCTTCTGAAGTAGGTGAAATCTTTTCAATGCCAGGTGAAACAGCACCCATGTCTTTGGGAGAAGCTCCTTGGTCTTCAGGTTTGGCTTCAAGTGAGCCTTGTTCATCATCAGTATCAGGTGTGATTTGGTCATCTCTGACCAATTTAGAGTCAACAGATATGAACTGTTTTTCTTGAGTCAACTTTGCATCAACTGATGAAAAAGACTGTTTTTCACCTTCGGCCAGAAAATCTTTTATTTCTTCTTTGAATGATTTAGCATCAACAGATGAAAAATCCTGCAACTGGTCTTGAATCAATTTGGTATCAACAGATGAAAAGATCTTTTCTTCTTTGACTAGCTGGTTGTCTACAGATGAAAAAGATTCTACTTTAACAGATTTATCATCAACAGATGAGAAATGTGTCTCTTTTGTTGTGATTTTAGTATCTACAGATGTAACTTGTTTTTCGACTTTGGTCAATACTCTGTCAATAGAAGAAACTTCTTGAATTTCCACTTTAGTCTCTTTAACAACCACTGGTGAGATGTCTGACTTATCTACAGCAGGGCCTTCTTTATCAAAAGATGAAACATCCAGTTTTTCATCTTTGATCTCTTTCCTCTCAATAGGTGAGACAGCTGGCTTCTCAATCTTGGTCTCTTTTTCCTCTGCAGGAGAGATGGCTGGCTTCTCAAACTTGGTGTCTTTTGCCTCAGCAGGTGAGACAGCTGGCTTCTCAAACTTGGCTTCTTTTGCTTCAAGAGGAGAGACATCTGGCTCTTCAAGTTTCTCAATGGGTGAGATATCATGCTTTTCAAACTTGGTCTCTTTTCTCTCAACAAATGAGATGTCTGGCTTTTCAACCTTAGTGTCTTCTGCCTCAGCAGGAGAGATGGCTGGCATCTCAACTTTGGTCTCCTTTGCCTCAGCAGGAGAGACGGCTGGCGTCTCAACTTTGGTCTCCATTGCCTCAGCAGGAGAGACGGCTATGTCTCAACTTTGGTCTCCTTTGCCTCAGCAGGGAGACGGCTGGCGTCTCAACTTTGGTCTCAGGAGAACGGCTGGCGTCTCAACTTTGGTCTCCTTTGCTCTCAGCAGGAGAGACGGCTGGCGTCTCAACTTTGGTCTCCTTTGCCTCAGCAGGAGAGACGGCTGGCGTCTCAACTTTGGTCTCCTTTGCCTCAGCAGGAGAGACGGCTGGCGTCTCAACTTTGGTCTCCTTTGCCTCAGCAGGAGAGACGGCTGGCGTCTCAACTTTGGTCTCCTTTGCCTCAGCAGGAGAGACGGGCTGGCGCCTCAACTTTGGTCTCCTTTGCCTCAGCAGGAGAGACGGCTGGCGCCTCAACTTTGGTCTCCTTTGCTCAGCAGGAGAGACGGTCTCAACTTTGGTCCCTCAACTTTGGTCTCCTTTGCCTCAGCAGGAGAGACGGCTGGCGCCTCAACTTTGGTCTCCTTTGCCTCTCAGCAGGAGAGACGGCTGGCCATGCCTCAACTTTGGTCTCCTTTGCTCAGCAGGAGAGACGGCTGGCGTCTCAACTTTGGTCTCCTTTGCTCAGCAGGAGAGACGGCTGGCGCCTCAACTTTGGTCTCCTTTGCCTCAGCAGGAGAGACGGCTGGCGTCTCAACTTTGGTCTCCTTTGCCTCAGCAGGAGAGACGGCTGGCGTCTCAACTTTGGTCTCCTTTGCCTCAGCAGGAGAGACGGCTGGCGTCTCAACTTTGGTCTCCTTTGCCTCAGCAGGAGAGACGGCTGGCGTCTCAACTTTGGTCTCCTTTGCCTCAGCAGGAGAGACGGCTGGTGTCTCAACCTTGTCTGCTTTTGCCTCAGCAGGAGAGACGGCTGGCTTCTCAACCTTGTCTGCTTTTGCCTCAGCAGGAGAGATGGCTGGCTTCTCAACCTTGTCTGCTTTTGCCTCAGCAGGAGAGATGGCTGGCTTCTCAACCTTGTCTGCTTTTGCCTCAAGAGGAGAGACAACTGGCTCTCCAAGTTTCTCAATGGGTGAGATATCACGCTTTTCAAACTTGGTTTCTTTTCTCTCAACAAATGAGATGTCTGGCTTTTCAACCTTGGTCTCTTTTACCTCAGCAGGAGAGATGGCTGGCTTCTCAACCTTGGTGTCTTTTGCTTCAATTGGAGAGACGGCTGGCTTCTCAACCTTGGTCTCTTTTGCTTCAATTGGAGAGATGGCTGGCTTCTCAACCTTGGTCTCTTTTGCTTCAATTGGAAAGACGGCTGGCTTCTCAACCTCGGTCTCTTTTGCTTCAATTGGAGAGACGGCTGGCTTCTCAACCTCGGTCTCTTTTGCTTCGATTGGAGAGACGGCTGGCTTCTCAACCTCGGTCTCTTTTGCTTCGATTGGAGAGACGGCTGGCTTCTCAACTTTGGTCTCTTTTGCTTCGATTGGAGAGACGGCTGGCTTCTCAACTTTGGTCTCTTTTGCTTCAATTGGAGAGACGGCTGGCTTCTCAACTTTGGTCTCTTTTGCTTCAATTGCAGAGACGGCTGGCTTCTCAACCTTGGCCTCTTTTTTGACTCAGCGGAGAGACGGCTATTTTTTCAACCTTGGTCTCTTTTGCTTCAATTGGAGGCGGCTGGCTTCTCAACCTCGGTCTCTTTTGCTTCGATTGGAGAGACGGCTGGCTTCTCAACTTTGGTCTCTTTTGCTTCGATTGGAGAGACGGCTGGCTTCTCAACTTTGGTCTCTTTTGCTTCGATTGGAGAGACGGCTGGCTTCTCAACCTTGGTCTCTTTTGCTTCGATTGGAGAGACGGCTGGCTTCTCAACTTTGGTCTCTTTTGCTTCAATTGCAGAGACAGCTGGCTTCTCAACCTTGGACTCTTTTGACTCAGCGGGAGAGACGGCTGGCTTTTCAACCTTGGTCTCTTTTGCTTCAATTGGAGAGATGGCTGGCTTCTCAACCTTGGCCTCTTTTGCTTCAATTGGAGAGACGGCTGGCTTCTCAACCTTGGTCTCTTTTGCTTCAATTGGAGAGACGGCTGGCTTCTCAACCATGGCCTCTTTTGCCTCAGCGGGAGAGACGGCTGGCTTCTCAACCTTGGTCTTTTTGCCTCAGCGGGAGAGACGGCTGGCTTCTCAACCTTGGTCTCTTTTGCCTCAGCGGGAGAGACGGCTGGCTTCTCAACCTTGGTCTCTTTTGCCTCAGCGGGAGAGACGGCTGGCTTCTCAACCTTGGTCTCTTTTGCCTCAACGGGAGAGACGGCTGGCTTCTCAACCTTGGTCTCTTTTGCCTCAACGGGAGAGACGGCTGGCTTCTCAACCTTGGTCTTTTGCCTCAGCGGAGAGACGGCTGGCTTCTCAACCTTGGTCTCTTTTTTGCCTCAGCGGAGAGACGGCTGGCTTCTCAACCTTGGTCTTTTTTGCTTCAATTGGAGAGACGGCTGGCTTCTCAACCTTGGTCTCTTTTGCTTCAATTGGAGAGACGGCTGGCTTCTCAACCTTGGTCTCTTTTGCTTCAATTGGAGCGACAGCTGGCTTCTCAACCTTGGCCTCTTTTGCCTCAATAGGTGACACATCTGGCTTTTCAAGTTTCTCAATGGGTGAGATATCGTGTTTTTCAAACATGGTCTCTTTTCTCTCAACAAATGAGATGTCAGGCTTTTCAACTTTGGTCTCTATTGCCTCAATAGGAGAGACGGCTGGCTTCTCAATCTTGGTCTCTTTTGCCTCAATAGGAGAGACGGCTGGCTTCTCAATCTTGGTCTCTTTTGCCTCAATAGGAGAGACGGCTGGCTTCTCAACCTTGGTCTCTTTTGCCTCAGCAGGAGAGATGGCTGGCTTCTCAACCTTGGTCTCTTTTGGTTCAATAGGAGAGACATCTGGTTTTTCAAGTTTCTCAATGGGTGAGATATCGTGCTTTTCAACCTTGGTCTCTTTCCTCTCAACAAATGAGATGTCTGGCTTCTCAATCTTGGTCTCTTTTGCCTCGGCAGGAGAGACGGCGGGCTTCTCAACCTTGGTCTCTTTTGCCTCGGCAGTGGAGACGGCTGGCTTCTCAACTTTGGCCTCTTTTGCCTCAGCGGGAGAGACGGCCGGCTTCTCAACCTTGGCCTCTTTTGCCTCAGCGGGAGAGACGGCCGGCTTCTCAACCTTGGCCTCTTTTGCCTCAGCGGGAGAGACGGCCGGCTTCTCAACCTTGGCCTCTTTTGCGTCAGCGGGAGAAACGTCTGGCTTCTCAATCTTGGTCTCTTTTTCCTCAGCAGGAGAGATGGCTGGCTTCTCAGTTTTGGTGTCTTTTTCCTCAGCAGAAGAGACTGCTGGCTTCTCAACCTTGGTCTCTTTTGCCTCAGTAGGAGAGACTGCTGGCTTTTCAAACTTGGTCTCTTTTGCCTCAGCAGGAGAGACAGCTGGCTTCTCAAGTTTCTCAATGGGTGAGATATCATGCTTTTCAAACTTGGTCTCTTTTCTCTCAACATATGAGATGTCTGGCTTGGTCTCTTCTTTCTCTATTGGTGAGATGTCTGGCTTTTCAACCTTGGTCTCTTCCAACTTTTCAATTTTCTCTACAGGTGAGATATCTGGCTTTTCAACCTTGGTCTCCTTCTCGACGGGTGAGATTTTTGGCTTTTCAACCTTTGTTTCTTTTCTTTCAACTGGTAAGATATCCGGTTTTTCATCCTTCATCTCCTTTTTCTTAACAGGTGAGATGTCCAGTTTTTCAATTTTTTCAACAGGTGAAATATCTGGCTTTTCAAACTTGGCCTCTTTTTTCTCAACAGGTGAAATACCTGGGCTCTTCATTTTGATCTCTGATCTATCAAGAGATGAAACATCTTTTTCATCTTTGACTAATTTTCTTTCGACAGGTGAAATGTCTTTTTCTTTTTTGGATTCTGTCTGACTGACAGATATGTCCTGCTTTATCTCCTTAATAAACTTTGCTTCAGAGGAAACTTCCTCTTTATCTTTTTTCTCAAAGACTGTCTTTGTTTGTATCTGTTCTTTTTTGTCAAAGGTGGAAATTGTTTTTTTCTCCTCTTTTACCACCTGTTTATCTACTGAGGTTTTAATTTCTGCAGTTTGGGATTTTTCTGAAAATGCCTGTTTCAGTTCTTTCACGGAGTATGTGACTTGCGATGGGGAAACAGATTCTGATGTATCCATTTCCTGTGTCTGCTCCTGAAGGGAAGAAAGCTTCTCTATGTGTTCTACATCCTTTTTGACTGAATGAATAACAGTTTCCTTTTCCTCATGTTTCTCTAGTACAGTTTCTTTCTGTTTGGTCTTAAGTGATTCTTTAAATTCTTTGTCAAAGGAAACGGAATCCCTTTTAGATATTTTTTCCCTATTGTTAACTTCTTCAAATTTTGCTATCAGAGATGATGTACTTTCTCTTCTCTCTTCAACAACTTCACCATTTTTTTTACCTGGACTTTCTTCATCAGAACTGAATACTTCATCTGCTTGGGTTGTCATGTAATAAGATTGGGCATGTTTGCCGGAAATTTTCTTTGAAAAGTCAAGACTTTCTTCTGTTGGTGATCTAAAGCAAGCATCCGGTGGCTCAGGCACTCCATATGGCTGTTCGATATCATCTTCAGACTTTCCGATAGTGTCAGGCTTTTGGACAGTGGAAACTTTAGTTTTTGATTTCATTGTTTCACTACTAACAGACACTTCACTGCGTGAACTCTCAATTCTATCCTCAAATTTTTGCTTAACCGCAGAGACTTTGGTCCATTCCTCCACTTTGGCATCAGGTGTATCATAAGCGCCGCTGACTGATGGCAATCCTTGAGCTTCGTAACCTTCAAGATCACTGTTTTCTATGACTACCCATTCAGAAGAATCTTTTTCAAGTTTACTTGATGACTCTTTACTTTCTTGCCGCAGTGTTGCTTGTGCAGATCGCTGCACCTCCCGCACAAGTTCTGAGGCAGAACTTTGTAATGCTGTATCAGATGTTTGCTCAAACATTTGAATAATAGAAGCCACTGATCTTCTTTTACTCTCATCTTGATCATCTACTTACAGTAATTAAAATCCAATGTGAAAGCATTAACAGAGAAATATTAGGCTTTGTTAATAAAAAGGGAAAAATGAAAACCTTTCTTTCAGATGACCAACAACAACAAAAATCAATTGTCAGATTTAAAGAAAAAAAAAAAAAGAAGGAAACTTATATAAGAACAAAGTGAATCCATTTTAAAAATACACCAGTTATAAAATCAGTTAACTACATAAAGCTAAAAAGAACTAAAATTTATTGATCTCACAGTTAAAAAAAATAAAAATCATTAAATATTAAAAAAATATTCTCTTTTGATTAGTCAAGCTTTCCAAACTTGTTTATTGTAACACTTTATTGTAATTAAATTAAATAATTAACTAACTTTTTCATTGAATTATTTTTATGTACTTTTTTAATATGATAGGCATAGCTAATAAAAGTTAATATCACAAAGATTTCATTTTTTTAAAAGTGTCACCAAATACAAGTTTAGTAAGCTTTATGAGATTTGAAGGAGTCTTAAATTCTGCAAAATTGCTCTAACTGAGGAAATATATATTTTTTTTTACAATTTGTAGAGAATTAATGCTATAATGTTCATGTGATGCTAAAAGGCTGTAAATTGATATGTCCTTTTCACTTCTTTTTCTATTTTCAAAAACGAGCAAGCTGATCTTTATTGGAATAAAATAGACAATATTCTGATCAAAAAGACTTTTTTGAAAAATCAGGCCTACAATTTATAAATAAACTAATATGCAAAAAGGTTGTATGTTGAGTTATTCCTTTTTCAAATTTTGCTTTTGTTTTCACAAAAAGAAATTTAAAAAAAAAATGCATTTATAGTGTCACGCTGACGATAGGTAAGACAGTTATGGGAGTATGGTTTGCTCAAGTGCTCACTCACCAACTGTTCTCCAAGCATCATTGATCTTAATATTTGGTGATAGGGCAGAGTGCAGGGAAAAGTGGGCTCAAGCCTTTCTTGAGATTATTAGTACCTCAACCAAATATTTGATTGTAATTCTAGATGGCAATCTTAAATATTTATCACTGTTTAGGTGTGTTCTTACCCTAAAAAAAAAAATCACAAGAGAAAATAACCAATGCTAAGAATAAGTATACATAACCAGAAGTATTGTTTGAACATCATGCCCAACACTAGGATCAAAGTTTGTCCTGGAAGCACACTGCTGTCATTTTTACAGCATTAGTTGTAGGAAATTATAAAAATAATTTTCTAAAATTTTTTCAATATACAACATATAATCATATATACTGTACAATTAATATGATTTATATGTTACTACTTCAAATGTTGTTATAGTGGACACTTCTTATTTGAAATAGATGCTTCATTTTAATTTATTAAACAGTGTGTAATACATCTATCGGTCAGTGCATTCAATATGAGTAAACAAAATATGTCCTCCAGCAGGGATTGAATCTGCATCTCCCTTTGTAGGGGAAACTACCATTTGATTCAGTCAGCATGTTTTACATTTTTTAGATTTTGTTTGAAGGAAAGTGCAAAATATTTGTCTAAAACTTTCAATTAATAAGCTATGAAATCAGTGCTTGCTTTATTGTACAAAATTATCTGCACTGTAAGCCCATTTGATGATAGAAGAGACACAACTCTCCCCACTCTATACAATATATTTGACTGTAAAATGTCAAAGAACAAACATTTGAATTTTTCTTCTCAGGAACTTTAGGAAAAGCTACACAGTCAATCTTGTAGATAATGAAAGTGAATTTATACTTTCCAGACATCAGTCTATAAGTCAGATGTTGCAGACATTTAAAATGATTCATGTCTTTAAAAATATTTTTCCAACCCTGTTAGATATTACATAAGTTTTTTTAAATAACAGGGTTGAAAATATTTAGATTTAAAAAGAGTAAAATATAAACCAAAAAATAACATAGATATTACATAAGTTTTTTTTAAATGTGTTATGTTTTTGTCTATATTTTGCTCTTTTTAAATCTATCTTTCCAAAATAGTAATTTAAATTAATAACAGTTTTGAACATGAAAGTTTTGCAATTGAGTTAACTGTAGATAACAACTACTTTCTCTTTTGATTTCATATTCACTGTTTGAAAGATATCACCAAGCAATTTTTTAAGTCCTGCATCAGGAATTTAGGATGTGCATGGCGCAATGGATACTGGCTTGGAATAAGAAATCAGAGTGTCAAGTTAGAATTCCAGTCACATTTGTCATATCCACTTGTATGCAAATACCCTTGGGAATGGTATGAATCCATCTATTCTCTCTTCAGCTATGGATTAGATAGTAGGATAGCCTTGGCTGGCAACCAGTCTACTGCAGAAAGAAACAGCAACCTACTACAGGAAAGTCAGTCATGAATTGAAAAAGATATGATTGTCCAAGCATGTATCACATATAGTACTTAGCTGACTGATCAGAAATTCACTCCTAATGGTGTAGTTCTCATTTACCAGTTTATATATATATATATATATATATATATATATATATATATATATAGTACTCGCTTGGAAAAACCTTAGGTATTTCGGCTTGTAGTTGAACAAACTAGTACCCAAGAAAAAATGAGGAATAAATAAAGAAAGAAGCATGAACATAAAATTGAGGTGAAAATAATCATCCAGAATTCAAGCTCAGAGTCCAAAGAAAAAAAACTCCAAAATAAGTGGCCAGTTTGACCCTGACGATCCGTTTAGGTGAAACCTAGGGAAGTTTATGTTATACATATATATATATATATATATTTCAGTTCTTTGTATTCTAATCATCAATATTAGTAATTTTATTATCCTTTAGGATCATATTAATACTTATTTTCTAAAGAGTATTTCAAAATTTACATAGGACATCAGACGAAACACTTTGCAAGTAAAATTTTATTTCTATACTAAATCTATTTATAAAAACTTCTCACTATATTCAGGTACTTTAAAAAAAAAAAATTTAAATAAATAAAAAATATTAAAATATAAATATTTAAAAAAATATTTTATTTCCTTCTATTTATCATTATTTTTTATTATTTAAAGAAGTAATTAGATATAATTCCTTTAAAGTTTTGCAAGAATTGCAAAACTGAAAACTTTAAGACTATATTCAAATTCACTCTTCCTCAGAAAACCATTTAATAGATTTGAGAATATTCCCAATGTTTCACAAATTTTACTTTCATTTAAGGCTCCTTAAAATTTTATTATACCCACAAGAGTAAGGTATAAAAACACAATCATCATGACGATTAAAAGAAACAATTGCAAAAAATTCAATAAAAAAAGTACATCAAATGCCAATCTGGTTAGAGAAGCAACAATAAAAACACCACAAAAATAAATAAAAAAAATCTTTGAAATGCTGTGGGCGGGAATGTTGAAATTAACTTGTGCTTTTATTTACAGAGGAACAGGAATGTCAATGTCTGCTGCCAGTAAGTGTGGGCAAAAAAAATGGCTGGTAGGGAGAATCATGCAAATAAAATATTTTAAGGGAATAATATAAACAACAAAAATTTCAGCTGTAGCTCAGCACACACAGATGTACATCATGCTGGGATGTTTTTTTTTACACTTCATGCCTGAAGAGTTCTGAAAAACAAAGCAAGAACAACTCAAACTGAACATGTATTTAAAAAAAAAAAAAAAAAAAAAAAAAAAGGATCAATAACATGTATCTATAGCACACAAGACAACATTTTTCGCTTTTATTTTTGGAAGGGGAGGGTGAGACAGCAGAGAAAGCATATCAGACTGTACAAATATGTGCAAACAGTACT